TGATTTTGAATGAAGTGCAGATTGTTTCTGTGACGCCTTGTGGATCTCTCTTGGCCCTTTTAACGACAAAGAGTAGATTGGTGGTGTTTGCGCTTCGCGCTGCGAATGGTCTAAACCAGACGAATTTTAATGATCAGTTACAGGATTCATTCTGCGAGCAACTTGTGCTGGATGTCGTTCTGATGAAAGGCTTGAAGGATCCGTACTGGTATGAACAATTGGAGTCGTTTTTGTCGTTTTCTCCATCCGGGCAGTTTCTTCTTTGTTCGGTGCAAAATGCTCCACCGTTTGTGCCGGAAGGGGATGAGGCAAGCCGTTCCCATCATGCGACAACGGGTAAAGTATTCCTCTATTCGCTGCACCGCGCAGAATGTGGCCAAATTGATGCGTCGGATGTGTCCCGCCACGGTGCAGTTGGCGAGGAAGACCGTCTTTACGCTGCGTTTCGGATTCATAAGACGCTTATCACGGTTGCACGTTGGTTGGATCCTCGCTTTTGGCGGGGCAATTCGTCGTCCAGTGTTCTTCCGCTGAAAGAAGGCAGTCCTCTGTGGAAACACGAGGCTCAACGACGCCTCGCTGCACTGCAGTGCTTTCATCCGGTAGAGACAATCTTATTCTTCGTTGGTCGCCCGCCGACGGCTCGATTATTCAGAGTATAGCCACTTTTCCCGTGTTTGATATTTTGGTCTCGCCCTTGATGCAGGCGTTTTACACAATCAATCAATATGGCCAGCTTTCCATGTATGACGCTTGGAATGAGCGCGACATTGAAAGTGCAAAAGACAACGTCGTGGTCGTATCCCAGCGTGGTCTTCCCGCTACACTTGCCGCAATGCAATCCTCTACTGATCTTCGGGAAAGGAGTTTCACTCAAAAATCAGCAGCTCCCGTTAAAGATGGGGAAATGCAAGATGCTTTTTTTGTGGGGACGCGCATAATTGGTTTTGATCGGCGTTCATTGGCGCGTGGTGGGACTGAACGTGAATCGGCAGTGTCGCGGATGTCGCGGCTCGTACAGGAGAAGGGTCTTCCAGCGGGGACAGAGACGAAAGAGGGAAATCGTTTGGGTCGTCGTATCGTGCAGCAGCTGCTGCGTCAGGATGGAGACCACCTTGTTCCACATACGTTGGCTGTGATAGAGCCTTCCTCTGGCTCGGACAAAGACTTTGATGGTGATGATGATGATGATTATAATCACGACGGCCAAGCTACGAGAGGACACAGAAACCATCAAGGAAATACTAATGGGGGCGTTGGTGGTGGGTTTAATTCCATGCCGTTTCTTCGTGCACGTCACTTTAGAGGTGAGGGGAAGAAATTGCCCACGCTAAGTAATGAAACAAAAGGAAATAATGACGTTTCTATTTCTGGGGAAGCCGTTCTATACCGGACAGGATCTCGTTTGGTGTTCGAAGAAATTTCACAGTTACTGTGCCAGAGTGCATGTATTTGGCCAGGAACTCATGAACCAAGATATGCCCCACAACAACAACCATATCAGCTACTTAGCATGGCAGCTTCCGGACACCCTTTGTGGAGTGAAGGGGCTGATGAAAGCTCATCGACGTGTAATGAGTTTATTGTCCATGAGAAGAAAAGGAAGTCGGCGAGCTCATTACCCACATTTAGCTATTACAGTGATGTACCTAAAAGGCGTTCAAACAGTGACCAGAACCACCAACAACAAAGCAACAACCACAGCAGCGGCTACGATAACAATATTGGGAAATTGTCTCAGGTACTAGGAACTGCGGGTAGGAGTTCCAGTGGGATGAATAATTCTCGTCGGTCTGAAAGGAACTTTGCATTGGCACCCGTTGCCGAAAACGGTCGTTACTTATGTATTACGGCCTCTGTTGGGCCAGCACGTGCGTTGGTTCCTTATGACCGTCCTCTTGAGTACCGTGCAGGAATGTATGCTTGTCTGGTGTTTGATGTACTCTATGGTGGTGTTGTGCGTGTCATCCCTGTTTGTCCGGTTCTTCCACGAACGGCGCTTACGGAGAACGGTGTATCTCACTTCCACTCTTACACCAAGAGGGCTCCAATCTATATTTTGCCCTGTGCCGTCACTGTCGTAAGACATCCACACCGGCATCAATCAGACGGGGTTTCATCCTCAGCGTCAGCATCTCGACGAACAAATTGTAATACAATGGAAGGCATGTCGGGTTTAAGTTACCCACTCTGCTTACAGGAGGAGGAGGAAGAGATGAGGAATGAAGATAAAAGCGGTCATGAGATTGCGGATAGAAACAGTGATAATAATGGTGATTCAATGGTGCTTGTCGCAGTGGGTGCTCTTCACAGCACGACGTACGTTTTTGATGCATTAACGGGGTCTCGCGTAAAGGTGATAGGTCTGAGAAAGCAGGCGGGCTTAACCAACGCTCTTAATTCGGGCCAAACACGGCTTCCGATAAAAAGAGCACGCTGCTCTTATGTTTCCTTGGCTGACCTTGGTGTGTTCAGTAATTGTCAATCGCAAAGAGATGATGGAAATGACGATGACGATTCGGGAAGCAGAAACGATGATGAAAGCAGCACGGCTTCAAGTGAATTGCCCTCACCATTTGGTGACGAGCAGTATGGCTATCAACGTCAATTACTGCTTAACCATCTGGTGGAACAGCACGGGATGGACACTTTATTGAGAGCTGCGACGGAGTTGTTGCGAGTTGTTCCTCTTCCCTTTCCCCCGTTTTTTGAGAAACTCCAAGAAGATTGTATTCCGCGTCTTTCAGAGGGTCACCGAAGCAATGGATGCTCACGACAGCAAGCGCATGGTCATTGTGGTGCTCCGGATAGTGCTTCTTCAATTTTATCTTTTCCTTCGCCATTGCCACATTTGAAATTGATGATGTCTTGTCCTTCATTTTTGGGTCAGCTGAAAATGGCATTGGGAGGCGTTTCTCCGGCAAATGGGTTTCAATCTGCGGCCTCCCGTTCCGATGCTGAGGGGAAAGCTAACACCGCTACGCTTTTTTACGACGTGCCCTTTGCCCACGTTGCACAGAGGGAACTGTGCCAGGCATTGTTATCCAACGAGACACCGATGTCAGTGGGAGAAAATGGCCTGCCGTCCACAGGCGGTGTCGCCCCTGCTGTGGCTGCGAATACTTCCATGAATTCCGCGTCAAAGCCGCAAAAACGGTTTCTTTGTGGTGTTGTGAATAGTGTGGCGTTGTTTTACGACCACGTGAAAGGTGGCGTGTTTGTTTTTTCTAGTGACGAGTACGGTGGGCTTTTCATGGCGGGTGGCTTGATTCCATCCCGCGTCTAAAGAGCCGAGGAGTGCAAGGGTTGCAGAACGTCTTATTGAAATGGAACGTGGATGAGGCAAGAAATTTTTATTTTTTATTTTCTTATTTTCTTGTCTTATTGGTGTTTTGGCAGAAAAATATAAACCTCACACTATTAATTTACGGTATTCTCGAAGTAAAAAATTGAGAGGCGGCGGCAAATGACAGGATACGCCTTTTTTTTTTTTTTTGTAGAACGCGTTACTTTGTCTTTGGGCTGAGCTTCCGGTGCACATGGTTGACGGCTCATGTAGACATGGTCAATGAAGATCATTTTGGCCAATGAAACGAAAAAAAAGTTGTTTGTGGGGAGGGGGGGGGGGGGTCTAAAAGTGAAACAAAATATTTATGTGATTAAATTTCACTTTTTTTCTTCTCTTTTTCCTTTCGGTTTCTGTGTATGTGAGGGAAAGTGGTCTTCGCATTGTGCGGTCTGCAGCATGACGTGGGGAGGTGTGCTTTTTTTTTTTTTTTTTTTTTTTGCGGAGTGAATTATTGTGATGAAGCGGCAGCCTTGTTTTCCACGTATTTCTCTATTCTGACATTCTTTGGGCATGTTGGGTCTTTTTTTTTTTTGGATGGTTTTGTTTTGTTTTGGGTGCTGGTGGCATATTTTTGGTTGCTGGTCCCAAATGCCTTTTTGTGCCTATATGTATCTAACCTTTGCTCCCCTGTACAAATGCGTGAATTGTTCTCTCTCTCTCTCTCTCTGTGTGTGTGTGTGTGTACGAAGAGTGTTTGGTGTGACGCGGTGGGAGCCAACTCATTCATTGCCATGTAATTATCTGAATATATGTATTTATGTATGAGTCGCACTGCATCGTTCACTTGCGGGTGTGGCGGGCAAGGCCCTTTTTTAGGCGCTGAAGAGAATGCACGAGGATAAATGCGAAAATAAGACGACACACACACACACACACACACACACAGACAAAAGAAAAAAAAAAAAGGCGGTATGGGGAAGAGTGCGCCACAAAAGTAAAACATATTTTGAGGAGAAAATAATTTTATGCAAGTGGTGTCTCTGTTAGTTTTCGGTTTATCAGCGGTGGTGTTTGGTGTTTTTTTTTTTCTTTTTTTTTTTTTTTTGTGTGTGTGTGTGCTTTCGCGCGGGAGGAGGAGGTTGTTTGTCCACCTGTTTTGTTGAGGGGGTGGAGGACGGCCTCCATGGATGTATGTTGTCTTAAGTAAAAGAATTACTTTCTTCTTTTGTTTTTATTTCATTCTCTTATTTGTCTTTACTTTTTTGTGGTTGTGGCGCAGTGATGACGTGCTGCACCGCGACGCACATGTGAGCACACTTGCGCAATGACTCACAACGACGCGCATATGAATTATACACCCGTGCTTCTTCATTTCCTTATTATTATTATTATTATTATTATTATTATCTTCCCGCGGCTTTCTTGCTTTTTGTTGCTCGCATTGTTACGCGACGAGGCTATCAGACTGCATGCATTTTCTTGTTGTTTTTTTTTTTTTTTTTTTTGCCTTTTGAAGGATATATATATATATATATATATATATCTTTTGTTACCTGCTTGACTTACGTGAGTGGAGAAAAGAATGGGAAAGGCTGCAAGAAGTAAGAAGAGAAAGGAATGAGAAGCGGCGGAAAGTTGCACTTTTTATTATGATACAGCAATGAACTAAGTAAACAACTCTGCGTATTTTGATGTGGCATCCTTTGTGTTCATGACAATTTTCTACTTTATCTTTGCGTATTTTTTGCTTTGCTTCTTTTTGTTGTTGTTGTTTGTTGGCTTAATACCGCCCTGGCGGCGCTACACACGAGTAATGGAGGCAAGCGAGGAGGAGGGAGTGACGGGGTGTGTGCAGGTGATGGTGGCGAGAGGACGACATGGTGCTGGTGTGAGGGAGCGCGGCAGCCGGAAGCTTCCGATGGTCCGGCTGGCGGTTTTGTTGAATTTTTATTTTATTTTTGGAGTGGCGTTTTTTTGTACCGGGGAGGAAGTGAAAAGCACGCGCAAGCTTCTCACTATGGGGCTTGTTGCAGACACCCACTACGACACGTTTCCAGCGGGTGAAAAGGCGCCATGGGAAACAATGCATCAGTGGCTGCGGGAGCAGCGCCAGAGGACGACCGCATGGACAGTGCGCCGGTATGATCTTGCGAGAGACAAGATGGATGAGGCCATTGGGCTCTTTAATCGTGTTGCGGATATGGATGTGGTGGTAAATCTCGGGGACCTTGTCAATAATAACTTGATGTGGAACCTGAGGCCCATCCTGGATAGCTTCAACCGTGCCAAGGCGCCGCACTACAGTGTTTTGGGCAACCATGATCTTCGCGCCCATAATGATCGCTTTGGTAAAATGAATAAGACCCAAGAAGAGTGGCTCAGGAAAAAACTGGGTCTGCCTCGCTGGTACTACAAAATTGATCACCCGCCATTCTGTCTTATTTTTTTGGACTCTTTGGTGAACGATCCTCAAACCACCAACGCGACCGCAAAAGAGGCGCAAGCAAAATGGCTAGAAGAGGAACTGCATGCGGCCAAAGTTGCCGGTCGCGTGGTAATCCTGTTTGCCCACTTCCCTATTGGATTTGAGACAAATCGACTGGGTCCGCTTTTAAAGGAGTACGACCAAATGCCATTGGTGTTTTCTGGGCACAACCACAAGGGGGACTACAGGATACAGGGAGCGTACCACGTCCACTGTGTCGCGTTGGAGGGACAAGTTGAAACATTGACAAATGCATTTGCGGTTGTGGAAGTCTTTGAAGATCGTGCGGAGTTGACTGGGTTTGGTCGTGTTCCGTCGCGTATTCTGCGTTTCCAACCTCATTTGATTAAGTTGCTTCAAGAGTACAATGGATCGTTGAGGACTAATTTGTCGTCACAGGGGTGTCAACCACTCCCACCAGAGGAATTGTGGGTTGGAGAGGTACTGCAAAAGCCACCTCCACTTCGACTGAACATTCCACATTACAGGAAGCCGAATCTTTCACCAACCCTAGTGCGGTTCTTTCCGAAAACCCGTTTTTACAACGATATAATAGTTTGGTTTAACAATGAGAAGACACATAATATTCGTGGATCTGAGGAACCCGTAGATCTTACTTCCGCTACGGGTAAGCGCACCCTGCTTAGCAATGGTACTTCTGTTATTTTAGAGACACCCGTAGTGCCTCATGAACTTTATGAAGAGATGACCAGTGGCTGTGGAAAAGACACTGCCCAGCCAAAAAGACGTACTCTTACAGAGGGTGCGAACACAGATAATTCGTGGAAAAAGCAATGGCTTCCCACCATTGCCCTATGGTTTTTCTTACTGGCCTTCACGATTGGAATTTTTTTTGCTGCCAGGCGAAAAAAACGCGCAAGGCATAGGGAATGGGTTGCGTATACGGAACGATGACAACTAAAAGAAGGAAACAACGCGAATAAAACGGAATTTGCATTATTATTTTTTTTTTTTCAATTTGATATGATTTTAATGGACCCGTGTTTGAGGGTAGCAATTGAAGCTTGTCTTTTTGTTGTTTTTGTATTTTATCCAACTGCGTCCTGTTATCACCTTCCACGCGGAGGGATTCCCAGTGGTTTTGGTGCCCTCAATAACCGCTTCCTTCTGGGTTTTGCAGGGAATATGGCTATTGCGCATGTAAGGCCGTTGAACGAGATTGTTTGCTGTTGTATGAGTTTGGGATAATTCTTTTTTGAATTGTGAGGGGATGCGGGACGCATTTGAGCCAAACTGTTTTTATTTTTTATTTTTATTTTTTGTAGGAATAGGGGAATAGGCTTCAAATATAATATACACGTATTTTTTATTTTTTTCCGTGGGGTATCTTCAGAAAGTCATAGAGAAACAATATATATATATATATATATATATATAGAGAGAGAGAGAGAGAGAGAGAAGAGGGTGTGAAGGTTAATAAAAGATTGATGAAGTTATGAGTATGCGGGTGGGTCGCTGTGTTAATGTATATCTTGCTTTACATCCATGTGTCTCGGGTACTTCAGGGGAATTAATGAACAGCACGTCTCTTGCTGATGAGAGGACACCAGAGGAAGGGTCTGGAAGGGTGGCTCACTCCTCGAGAATGCCATGCCTAATATTGCCTTCTTCCATACAAGTGAAGGGAAGCGGGACGCATATATTGTTTCACAATGGCTGTATTGATCATCGCTCCATCGCCACGACGCTGGGTGACGCGGCATGGAATGAATTGCGTCGTAGTGGTAATTTTTGGTTTATTTCATGTGTCCCTCCCCATTTTTCCAAAGAGGGTGAAAGCAGGGCATTGGGTGAACTGGGGAGTGTGGAGGCATCGATGCTGGAGTGGTTATCAGTACGAGTTTTGCAGGTTGTCTCCTCACCCCTGAGAGTGTCTGTAATGCAATGGATGGAAGGGGGAGGAAATGCGTTGCGTGGAGCAGATGCAGATGAACCGCCTTGGCGCTATTCGAAACAGAGCGAGGGGGAGTTCGCAGATGTGGAGACGTTGATAGAGTTTGTGAAGGGAAGCCTGACGGAAAACAGTGAAAAAGCAGCAACATTTTGCTTTCATTTGGTGAGAATCACGTTCTTTGATCCCGAGTATGCAGGCAATTGTGAGATTGTGATGGCGGGTGTAGGCGCGTCTTTTGAGGCCTTGTCAGCGAGCGCATCCCGTTCTCTCGTTGCGGTGCGTGCGTGGTTTGCCAATTTGGCGTCCGTCTGCACGGAAAATTCACAGCGTCAGCGACACAACAATCGTTTCTTTTTTGATCTAGACGCACGGGCCTCCGAGATTCTACCGGAAGAAATTGTCCGTTTTCTCCTTGCACGACTCTCTCACTTCAATAGTGAAGGGGAGGAAGATGGCCATGTTAATTTGCAGCCAACTAAACGAGTGGTGTACGCCGTTCTGGAGGTGGATGTCGGGGCTCTTCTCCAAGGGGAAAAGGGATTGTATGCTGACGATGGCGCATCCGCATCACTCTTGCGGTACCTGTCGTTTTGGAGCTCACTGGGGGCGTTCGTGTTGAAAGATTATGATGACGATGATGGTGGCAATGCCGATGGTCATGATCACGGCGCTGAGAAAGAAATAAGTGGCGAGAACCATTGTGCGGGTACAGGGCGAATCGCGGATGACAGCTTACTTGACGCCAAAGCGCGGCTGCAAAAGTTTCTTATTGATCCCTTGATTTTTTCCCGGCTGACTGAGGGCTGGTGTGGTAGGGAGGCAATTGGCGAAACGGTCTTCTCCAAAGGACGAATTCTTGCTGCTCTTGAGCAGTCACACCGTGTATCAAACGTGGCGAGGCAAAAGGGGTTGCAGCGACGACTACGGCGTTGCCTTTCATCGGCAACGCATCCAAGTAAATCTGTGAGCGATGTGCTTGGGTTTTTTAGCGCAGAAAATGAGGCAGTTATGTGGTGTCAGAGGCTTGAGTGGCAATATTACATTATGCTTGGGGATTTTTTTGAGACGGGCGAGTCACCTTCAAGAAGTCTTCTCTCACCCAAGCAGCAGAAGCAACAACAACAACAACAACAACAACATGAAGTTTTGCTTCAGTTTCCGGAAGGAGAAAAGACACTTGACAACCAATGGAAACTGAAGCCGTTTCTGCATGAAGGTTCCCATAAAGAGGCTGAGGGGTCTTGGTCTGAGGATATGACAGGAGTGAAGTCCCGCGTTTCATCTTGCGCTTGTGATGGCTTAGACTCACCGAGAACATTTTGTTCTTCACGTGGAGCAGTGCCACAGTCATTGTTAGTGCCGCCGCAAGATCTGTTTTATCGCTTGAGTGAGGCTGAGGTCGTTCGGCGACTTTTGATTAAGCTCAGTGCTGCAGAGTCGATGGAGTCTATACTGTTCTGCGTTGCATTTCAGTTGCAACGTTCTCATGTGCAGGAAATGCATCTATGCAATGGATTGCTGCATGCTAAGAAGGAAGCAGACTGTGCGCGGCAAATTTCGTCACCTGTAAAACGCTGCGAAGTTCCCATTTACTTGGATCTTCTACGAGAATATACACGTGGAATCGAGGACATCTTCTTGCCATTGCTGGTTGAAAGTGTTGGAGAAAAACTTGGATGCTTTCTCGAACTCTTTGCTGCTGCTCGGGAAAAAGAAAATAAAACGGGTCGCACCATTTTTCCTTCCATCGACTTTGTGGATGCAGCCGTGCAGACGATTATGCCACCGAATGAACGGCACTCAGGGGTCATGGATGGGAATACCTCTGGATGGGAACCATGCATTCCTTTGCGTGATGAAGAATCCAACCAGCAATTACTAGGGGAGGTGACTTTATCGACGGAGTCAGCATACGCACCCGAGAGGAAAAGCTCTTTACTCCGGCGTCGACTTAGCGAAGATGGTGATCTTCCAAACATGGATGAAAACACAGCGAACGCACTATACTCACCGACTGTAGAAGGCACAGTGGCGGAGCTTCACGGAGACGGTAAGACTATTTTGGGAGATGAATCCCAGTTACCGATGCCGGAGGGGGAGTGCGTGGAGCCTCCTTCTGTGGACTGTGGTCGCCTCAAAGAAGACGTAAAGAGCGAGGTTTCGTTGCGGCATGTTCGTCGGCTTTGTCGTGCCAAGGCACGTGGCTCTGTGCAAAATCTCGTTTATCGGCGACTACTCACCACAGGGTGCATCAAGAATGTTGTAAATCAACGAAGTGAATCCAATGGAACATTGCCTGCTCTCAGTTTTTCTGAAATTATGGAAGAGAAATTACGCTGGTGTGAATCAGAAGACCTTGATGAATACAGGAAGCTGTTGGCGTATAGTATTTATGTGGTGGGGACAGCAGGGTGTGGGAAATCGAGTTTTATAAGCTCTTTTTTGCATGAAGTGTCTTTGATCGCTTGTTCACCAGCAGTGGAGCCACACACAATGGCGATCCGGCGAACTTCAACAATCGTTGAAGTTCCCTTTCCTACGTATTCTCTTCCTTTGGGTGGTCACAGCAAGATTTCACCATCCAACATGCGGCAGTGGATGACCGCTGTTGGGGACAGTCGTGTGGAACCCTCTCGGGTTGGGGTGAACTTTGTTGAGGTACCGACCCCCTTCTTATTTGTGGCTAGTACGGGAAATGTGAAGCTGCCCAGCCGGGGCGTTGTGTATTACATTTTGTATCGTGTGCAGGATGACTGGAACTCGATGCAGGAAGCGATATGGCAGCAAGTTCAGACAATTCAACATGCTGTAACGATGCCGAGTTTACATGTTTTAAATGCACTGGGAGGTGACAATGACAGCGTGGGGGATCCACGTGTGGGGTTGCCTTACTTGCCGGTAGTACTTGTCGGTACCTACAGGGATTCCACCGTTGATTTGGTTTCTGTGGAGCAGCCCGCCGCGGCGCAAAATCAGTTGGATCGACTTGGACTGTGGTTTGAGGAACGGGTTGGGCAGCAAAGGGAATCTACCGAGGGCCAGTTACCACGGCCTGTAATAATTGATTCCTGCCTCACGAATACGTCTAACTATTTATTTATCTCGGAAAACTTTTCCAACAACACAGCGTTCCAAACGCTTCTTTATCGCACGTTGAGATTTCTTTACCACACTGCGCCCCTGAGTCCATTGCACGTCCTGGCACGGTGGCTTCCTCGATCCTTTTTTATCCCGCTTGAGCCTCATGTTGAAGGAGTCGAAGAACATGAAGTTACGGAGATTAAAGCAGTTGATATGCATTATATGATCCACGGTACCCTTGAGGGATTTTGGGAATTCCAACGCCGCCGTCGTGATTTTGCTGCATCCATGCAGCAACAAGAAGAAAATGAAGACGGTGAGGCAAATCGGATTTCCCATTCTGTTCCATTTTCTCCACATAGACTGAGATTGTGGTGGAGCAGCAGTTCAGAAGGACTTCTTTCTCTCTTTACTGCTCTACAACGGTTACGCCAATTTGTGTCATGCTGCTTTGATGAGCAATCCTTTGACAATGCGGTGCTGTACCACCTGGGGTTTGTCCATCCGGATGACCCCGATGAGATGGACGGGGATGATGAAAAGGAACGTTGCCTGCGCGGGAGGGATGTGTTTTTGGAGGCTTTACTGGAAGAGTGCCGCCTTCGCGGTGCGCTCTTTTTTCTACCCTGCACTCTACCCCACTCACCAGAAGAAAGTGGACGTGGGAGTGACCCGCGGGTTTTTAACAAGCCACCGTCTTTCTCGGCAACGCCAAATCAGCAGCTGCGCATGGTGCTTCTTGGTCCAGAGTGGGTGGAAAATATATGGTCACAGACGCTGGCACCACAAATGGTGGTCTACCACACCATATTTCTTTTGGGCGGTTCCGACGATGTGACCGATGATGTCTTGAGCACCATCTTATTTCACTGTGAAAAGCAACTTGGCGTCACATTTACTGCGGCACACTTCACAGCGGTGTGGCCGCAGTTGTATCCGAATTTATCGAAGGATTCTGTTGAGTCCAAAACCCACAATATCGACAAAATAAGTGAATGTCTCTACCAATACCTTACAAGGGGTTGTGTTTCTTCAGAGCTGCTGCAGTTCTTATGGCGTCCGCCGTATAATATTCTTGCCACAAATGAAATGGGTGCCGTAATGGCCCTTATTGCAAGCGGATTGGCACGCCGAGAGACGAGGGAGGAACACGAAGAAACAAAGGGTGATCGATATGGACTGACAGGGTTGCATCTGCCATGCGCCCCATTGACACCTGGCAACCTGGCATATGCGTGTAGACAAGAAGTTTGAATAATTGGTGTCCCGGTTTTGTTTTTGTTTTCCAGCAGTTTTTTTTTTTTTTTTTTTTTTGCGTATCTGCTATTTGTTCTCATGTTGATTTGACATTTGTTTATTTATTTATTTTTTTTTCGCTTTGTGTTGATTATTTTTGTTGTCGTTGTTGTTGGACATTTATTGCTGCCGCGACATTGTTTTTGTGAAGTCTGCTTACGAGAATGTTGGATGAGGCGGAGGAGAGGGTGAAGGTGGACCTAATTTTTCCTTATTTGGCAATCCTCTGTGTGTGTATGTGTGTGGCATTCTTTTTTTTTTTTCCTTCTTTCTCGAACGATATTCCCGTGTTTCCCTTTATTTTTATCCCATCATGAGATTGCCTGAAATAATGTTGTGCTGCGACTGCCCCTCCGACTACGTTGGTGCGCTTGCGATGGAGATAGCCAAACTCATGGAAGAAAGGGCCTACAGACGCCACATGCTACCCTGCTTGTCACTAAGACAGAGATCGCATCTTTGGGCGTTGCGATGTCAGGCGCTATTCGGTGATGCGCCCAGTGACCTCGACGTACCGGCTCCCAATGAGAAGGAAAAAGTCAATGAAACGGCGCAAAAACAATTGACCCCAATGGAATCGTCACTTGCGGGGCTACCGAAGCTTCCACAACGGCCGCTTCATTGGTATCAATTCACGATGCGTTTTTATTACTCTGCGTGGGTCGCACTAAGGGGGAAGATGACGCCGCAGCTTGCTGCTGAGGCTTTATGCACCGAGTTTTTGTACCTGCTGAAGGTGCACAACAGCCCTGCCATGCTCCCTCTCATGGAGGCCGCCTCCAACACCGCCCGCGCAAAGGCAATGGCATTCAATCTTGATAAGAGGGAAAAGGGGAGTGCTGGTGGTGGCACAATCAATAAGACTGCAGGATCGAGTGAAGGTTTTTACGTCCGTGGGTTGCATGGGGACCCTGTGGTGATTGCTTTTCTTTGGTTCTGCCGGGCTCAATCTATTCCGTGTGAGGTGGACTTTGAGCCACTGTCGTCCGAGTTGCCAAAAGGTGAGGAGGATCTCTTCCTTGTGAAGTCTCTGTCCCAAAATACGGTAGTGACTGAACCCTTGGCGGCATTTGTCCTCTGTGTCGATTTATACCTGCCGCAATGTGGGCATTGGCTGGGGGAACTTCCTCCTTGTTCATCATCTTCCCTCCACACGACGCGGGCATTAAGAAAAAGTGCGTGGATAGAGTATATGCATCACATCTTGGTGGATCTTCGAGCCCCATTACTACGTTTTATGAGAGAAGTGACCAGTCAGATGAGAAATTGTGGGAAATCACAAGAATCCCAGTTTTCGCAGCCGCGTTCAATTGGACAAGCGGATGCTTCGTGCGGCGATTCATCTGAGGTTTTGCGACGAAGAATTCGAGAGATGTCCGACGTTGCCATGAAATCACTCGCGCATTATGAACGTTTTGCTCACCATTACTATGCAACCATTCCACAGGTCACAGTGTCCGTTGCGGAGTTGTGTGTCGCTGCGTACAGCTTTGTTATTTGTACGACTTCTCTTTGCAAAGATTTTTTCCCCCCACTGGAGGCAGTGCCATCTGCTCTGGGAAAGATTGGTGTGCATGCGGCAGTACCATGGGGTCATAGGGTTTCGCTTTATAGAGACGGAGAATCGAAAGATCCGTTATCGGAATCGTTGCAAGATACGACCGCGTTGCTTAGCGGGGTTCCAAAGGCCTATCAGGAGATTGCGACGCGTATCTTGCGTAGTGCAACGTCTGCTCATTCTCCTTCTGTGAAGGTTCTGATTTGTGAAAATGATGGACGCAACAAAATAACTGATAAAGGAACAAAAAAAATAGCCTTTTTGAGTTCTGGGCTTCTTTGTCTGGAGTCAGCTTGGGACGGACTGACGCCGGGTGCAAATGAGGCAGCCATGCTTGTTGTGGATCGATGGATTTGGATCACATGCAGCCCGCATCGGCGAACTCTTGCGGAGGTACTTTCGTACGCATGGTGTACTGCCAATGAACAGTGCATCGGTTTTCCGTTTCTTGTACTAGACAAGGAGCAACGAGACTTTGTTACGACACTCAACGCCCACCCTACCTCACTTGCGCGCCATGAAGCGCCATGGAAGGAAGGAAAAGCCGCGGCAGTGGCAAGAACGTTCCGGTTAAAACTGCGCACCGCACTTGGAGCATCCCCACCATCCTCCGAGCGCCGAACATACCGAAGCTATGCAGCAAAGTTGTGAGATGTGGCTGTATATGTTATGAAAATATGCCGTTGCTATTTTATTGCGATGATTATTATTGTAGTCGTTTTTATTACTTGTGTTATTTCTCTTCTTGGATGAACATTCTTCGTTTGTTTGCTTTTGTAGCTATTTGCGGTTTGTCCCTGCAAGGCATCTCACGCCGGGATGTGTTAAAAACTCACAAAAGAGAGAGTGGGAGGATGAGGGGAGGAGTAGACACCACATTGTATTGTGTAAAGGGACTGCCAGAGGGATTGAAGGAATCGAACTGAAGGTCGCTGACACCATAATAACGAGGGTCTCGTTGATTTTTTTTTTCTTTTGGATGGGAGAGAAAGTGGGGAGTCTGTTGTTTGCTGCTTTTAAGAAGCAGTCATGTTGTTGCTTTTTTTTTTCTGCCGTATTTGCGCCATTTATTGGCGTACTTCTACGGTTCATGGGAGAAGACGCGTTAAGAGAGGAGGCGTGTGGGATGGTGGTGGTGGCGTTAGTGGGGGACGGGACTTTTCAGCGAGACCCCGAGGTTTATTTGTACAACGGCTTGCAACAAAAATGGCCGTACACATAAGTGAATGAGGTTCAATGGAGACATCTTTTCTTTTTTTTTTTTGCTTTTGCTTTGCCCGCGTCTGTGCGCTGTTTTCGTGGGGTTTTCTTTTGAATCTTATTTTATTTGTTCTTTTCCTTCATTTGTCGTTACACGGGAGGAAAAAAGGGAAGTGAGGAACAGGAAATAAGGTGAATTGAACTATTAATATTTTTTTGTTGTTGTTGTTTCTAAAGGTGGGGGGCGGGAGGGAAATAAAATGTCGTTAAAAATTCGTCACTTTGCTGAGATTGTTGTTGCGGTGACATTAGGCTACGTTGCCTACAGGGGCATGCAGAGTTTTTTGCGGAACGAAGTGACGATAAGTATCACGGAGTTGGTACACCTGCCACCCAGTGAGAGGCTGCTGGAAGTGGATGATGTTACGCCACTGCAGGGGGAAATTCGATGCGAGACATACTTGATGCGTAGTTATCGCTTCCTTATGAGGCTTTCTGCCAGCGTCAAGGCAGTCTCCATCTCACCCCCTCCCACATCGCGCACTCGCCACCGCGTCACGCATGCAGCAGAGAGTGGCAGCTACAGAAGTATGTTTTCTCATGGGGTGAATAAGAAGCGGGAAGGCCTTCCCAATGTTTCCGTACATGATGTGCATAGCATGGTGGATTACTGGGAACTCTCGCCAAATGGCAATGTTTACTTTACGCCTCCTTGCATAGGAGATGAACTGCTGATGCGTTACGAAGCGTCAGTAAAGGCAGGTTATTTAGTCAATGCCGCGGTAAGGAACTGCTATCTACAGACCGATGAAACACCGGGCCTGAAGCGTCTCTCCTTTGACTTAGTGGTGTACGACGTTTTGCATGCGGCGAAGATACACATTGCACTTCCCAATCGCTACTGTGATGTCGTTGCTATCCACACCGGCGGCGTGGGAATAATTCAGCAGCCAAACTCAAACAAGCCACACCACTTTATCTGGGATATAGGCACTGTCGACGAGACAACGTGGATGAAAGTCAAAACGCTCTCACCAGAAGTTCTGCCGGAAGGTCGACTTGCGCGTCGCGGATTCACCGATGACGACTTGGCGACAGCAATAGAGCGACAGAAAAGCGGTGACAATGTTAGCGTCGTGGCGAATAGTTATCAGCTTCCCAACACAGTGGACTCGAGGTTTGACAGCCGGAGCGAGAGGTGTGATGATGACAAAGTTTTCGATGGTGGTGCCAATAAGGGGATGCTTTGCACTCGCACGAGCTCCGGGCTTCCTGAAGGGACTCAACTCCTTATTGCACACTTTATTCTTGTCTTTGAGGAGCCCGATGAGATGGAACACGACTACGTCTCAACGGACTCAGAGATGAACGAGGGCGAGGACGAGGGTGGCGAGTGCGACGAGGTGAGACGGCGAAAGGGTACACGAGACTCTTCTCCGGGTGGCGCTGGCATCAGTAGAAAGGATGCAAAACGTGAGGAACGTGCTCGTAAACGAAGATTGCGGCGCTCAAGTGCTGATTTGATACTCGCAGCGGGACACGGTGTCCCCACACGCAAGCCGACGATCGAGCTCTCCTACAGTGTTGTTGGGCTCGCCTCTGGTGTCTCCGTCCGGAAACTGCAAACAGTGAGCGACCTGCCGAATTGGATTCCACGCTCGTTCTTTGACTCCTGGGTGCTGCAGTGGATGGTTCCTGGCATTCAGCAGCTGCGCCTGGGGAAGTACGCCCATTACACCTCGTGGTTTGTCCAGCCCGTCCCTGTCGCGTCACTCTGAAGGGGACAAGAGACGAGCCACAAAAAAGGTAAAGGCACCGAAGAGAGAAATATGAAAAAAAAAAAAAGAGGGTAAATAAAAAGATAAATTCAACTTTTACTGCAACAAACACACACGCACACACGCAAACCAAAAAAAGACACCAAGAAAGGGAGAGTGAGTGACTGAGAGATATGAGGAAAGTAAAAAGGGATCAATCGACACAAGCGATTATGGCATTGATGTGGCTGTAAAGTGGTTGTTATTGCTTGAGGTTTTGTGAAGGCGCCTCTCCAGCAGAATATGGGTTCCATTGGTACTTACAAGGAACAGAGGAATTATATCTTTTGACTCGCGTTGTTCTTGTTGTTGTTGGTTTTGTGGATGTTATTCCCTTTTCTTGGTGCTCTTTGCCCGTCATCATTGAAAAAGAGTAGTGGTTATACAAGCGTCAACACTATTTCGTACGCATTTCACGGCACACACTACATACACGCATGCCGATACGCGGGACCCGCTATTTCAAATAATGGGGATTTTTTTTCACTCTCTTGTTTCGATCTTTCCAACGCGACAAACACTTTTATTTGATTAGTTATTGAGACGTGTCAAGAGCAACAGCGGCAACAACGTAACTAAGGAAATAAAAGGGGTTTGGAGGGAAATAAGACACAAGTCGCCTTTTTGCCTTGCCGCTGGGCTGCAGAGACACAAACGCGGGACATAGAGGAAGAAGGGAAAAGGAGAAACGGGATTTAAAAAATGAAAAGAACAAAAAAAATAATAATTACCAAATGGATGGAGAAGAATTTGGGGGAAGAAACGGATTGGACGAGAAGAGGGCAAAGCGCCATTGAAGGCGAACGTATGGAATTTGATTTTCTTCGTCCGCAGTCGGGTTTGAAGCTTAGATTGGTATCAGGGCTTTGTAGTTGTGTTTATGTGTGTCTGTTGGAGAGTGAGCCTTGGCATGCACATGGCTCCTGCTTCCGTTTTTTTTTTAATGTTTTTTTTTTCGGGTTTATTTTTTCATTGTTTAATCTTTTTTTTTTTCTTCTTGCCCCTTCTTTTTTTTCTTTTTGTCAGTTCCATAGTGTGGTGTGCATTGCAAACCTTCTTACGCATCTACACGTCTTTACACCTTTTTTGTGTGTCACCCCAACGTGAATAAGTGAACTTCGACGTAACGGCAGGAATTTGTAGTGAGGCTGTTGATGATGACGAGTGATCGCTTTTCCTCCTCCTTTCCCTTCTTTTTGTTTGTTCGTTTGTTTCTCCATATGTGTGTTTGTTTGTTTGTTTTTGTCAATAATTACTGTTTTGACAAGTTGTGGAAGGGAGAAGAGGGTAAGGAGGCTGTAGACAGACCCATATATATATATAGAGAGAGAGAAAATGTCACAGCGAGATATCCACGACGACAGCGGCAGGGCGATTGACAGGGAATTAGAGGAGGAGGAGGAGGAATACGAAGACGAGGACTTTTTGCCTTCGATTCCCGAGGCGTTGCTGCACCCACCGCACAATGACGTCATAACGCCGACAAAAACAGATGAGAGTTTGGAAGTGGAAAGGAAGAAGCGATCTCGTTCCCCGAGAGAACACAGGGACGGTGGGGCAAGTTACGGTGCGTCAGACGGTGTTTACTCCGATAACGGCGGTGACGAGAGGAGTGAAGAAGGTTTTATGGAGTTGCTGAATTTGGAGGGATTTCCAAGCACTTCCCTATACGAACGAAGCTACTGCCATGGTCATCTTCTGCACGACATTGGTGTTGTACAAGATGACATTGGCTGTCTCATTGCTACTGTAGACGCGGCTGGGACGCTGCGTGCTTGGCGAAAGCTTCCTCGTGGTGTATTCTTTTTAGGGGACTTCCAGGGTCTTTTTTCACGGAATTTGGCGGAGGGGGATGCCAATGACATGGCGAGACACTTTATCCTAATCGACTCACTTACTTCCAGTCTTCTTGTGGTGCGCATCATGCCATGTGTGGAGACGAAAGCTGGTATCGTGACGGTTTCTGTTGAAGTCCGTCGGGTGAACTCCACTCTAATGACTGTGGAAACACGTCTCTCTTTTATTTTTAGCGTTACATTGAGCATAACGGCAGAGTCATCATCTTGGAAGGATAGTGTTACTCCACGACCTTTTTTGTTACACCACGACCAACAACCGTTCATTGTTTTTTTTACCGTGGAGAAGGATGGTACAAGCAAATCTGTGTTTTTGCCTTGTGTCGCGGAAAAGGCGCTAATTTCTGGCGGCATGGCGACTTTATTGACTTCTGCACCAATAAGCACAGCGAATCGTGTGGTCTGCTGCCAGCAACATCGATCAAGCGGTCTGGTTGTATTGGTTGATGAGAAGGGCATCATTGACTACGCACGCATTATGGTTTCTCCTAGCGATGACGGTCAGACTGTTGCTTTTCTTCAGGTTATCTCAGGTGTTCCAACTCGTAACGCAGCTGACCCCATGATGCTGCGGAAGTGGATCACCTTTGAGCGTCGGCAGAAGACTGGCTTTTTTACTTTGTTGAGAGAAGCAATGAATATTTCCAAGACGGGGAGGTTAATGACGCCGCTTCATGTTGGGTTTTGTGCAACTGGAAAGTATTTTGTAGTGTCAAGTGGCATCCTGCGTGCGGGCCATGTGTGCGTCTCTGTTCATGTCTTTGAATTTGCTAGCGGTAAATTTCTTGCGCGCGGTGAAACAGAAGAAAAGGTGGCACCGGCTCTTGATGGGGAAAAGGCTCTGCAGGCGGCAATTCGACTAATGCGTGGGGCCTTGTATGGCGTCATCATGGAGGACGCTGTGCGCAAATCCCCACGAGGTGAGGCAGGGGGCGTCTGGGTGTTTGTCCCAGAAATTCTTTTAGGAGGGAAATTGTTTAGAGGGCGCGTGTGTGGTCGACGCATCTTTGTCTTCCGTGCCGCGCCTTCGCCCGCAAGAAGGATGATGACGGCAGACGGAGGTGAGGCTTCCAACCGTGTCACAGAGACTCCGTTCCACATGGAACAAATGTGGCGTCCCATTGGAGACCTGGAAGAAACTGTTCGTGAAATGGCACTTCCGACCTCATCTTTCTTATCGCCAGGTGCGGGGCTTGACCAACATCTTGCTGCGCCCTTGGCAATGATACGGATCACTGTTCCTGCTAGTCAAGCGCTCAAGAATCTTGTGGCTCAGTCCCCTGTTGGTTCCACCCTCTTGCAGGAGGATATGAAAAGGCTTTTTTTTGTTCCAAGCAATACGGCTTTGGAAACCGCAGTCAATGAGCGTTTTTTTAATGCCTCTGATCCCACTTTTTGCACGACATCGTTGGAGGGAACGGCCCTGTTACTGTACACAAAGTATGAGACACAGTTGGGAGAGAGTGCTGCATTCCAATCATTGAAAGGCGGTGCAACCGATGCCACTGATGCCGTTGGTGGAAGAACGGAGCAGACATACCGAGAGAAGATGTTATACGATTTACATCAAAGGCGTGATTTTGACTGTGGAGACCTTCTTCTTGTGGAGTCATCCCCAAGAGGTGTGCTGCCACATGAGGCAGTGAAGGCGGACGACGAGGAGACCAAAGAGAATGATTCAGTAGCTCACGAAAAACGTGATGAACATGAAATTGACGGGGATTTGGAGGAACAACGTGTACAGCATATAATTACAGCAGCGACAGGACGGGCAATAGAATGGGAAAGTTCTGTTATTCATGTTTCTTTGTTTGTGGACGTCTTTGGGACGATTATTGTCCGTCTGTTGCCTAATTTTGCCCCGAAGGCTGTGGTAAATTTTGTTGGTTTGGCGCAAGAAGGCTTTTACAACGGATTGACGTTTCATCGTGTGGTGCCGGGTTTCATGATTCAAGGCGGGTGTCCAGTTGGGGACGGGAGTGGGGGGAAGAGTGTTTTTGGCGAAAGATTTGAAGACGAGGGGATGAACGCCATGGATTTCTTTTCGTACCCAAGTGTGTACTGGCTGTGCATGGCGAATTGCGGCCCCAACACGAACGAGTCGCAGTTCTTCATCACCGTAGGCGAGGTGGCGCCGTGGTTGAATGGCAAGCACACCGTTTTTGGATTTGTCGTCTCAGGAAAGCCTGTGGTACGTGCGATAGTACAGACAGCGAGGGACGATGATGACAAGCCAATTGCCCCTGTGGTGATTCGACGTGTGGTCGCCACAGAAAGAACGACGGAAAAGTAGCACGTGCAGGCGCCCGCTTTCCCCTTTTATTGTGCAGCTTGCAAAGGGGCTCCGTTTTGTTGTTGTTTGCTTCTTGGTTGTCGTTTACTCTAAATTTTGTTTATTTTTTACTTTGCCGTGTGCGTGCGCGTCTGTTTTATTGTCTGAAATCTTCAGCTTTTCTGAGGCACTCTTTGGGCTTACTTTTGCCCGTGGTATGCATATGTATATGTATATATATCTTCTTTTTTTCTTGAACGAACCACGGGGAATGGGGCGCCAGGAATCATTAATAAGAAGAGAAGCAATAATAATAAAAAAGTGGGTAGTCGGGAGAGAGAGAGAGAGAGAGGGTTCTGAAGAGGGGAAACATGTTCAGTTATGATGAGTTGGTATGGACCATATCGTTTCCCGTCTTCTGCTCAATTGTCATGTGGTTTTCGATGGCCATTGCACTGCTGGTGCGGTCGGGGCGAGGCTACTACAGACGGGAAACAATACGAAAATCCATTGCGGGAATGGAGTCGCGGGGCGAAACTGTTTCTGGCTCCCTTCGCCGCAGTAGCAAAGCCATCCTCAGACGTGCGGTTGTTGTGGTGGGCGGAGACTTTGCCCGCTCACCTCGCATGCAGTACCACGCGGCAAGCCTGCTCAAGTGCGGTCTTTTTGATGGAGTGGTTTTGGTGGGATTTGACATGGGCAATGCACTGATAGATGATTTACAACAAAACAACAGTGTTGGCGCCAACGAAGAGGGTGAATTTATTGTGGACACCACATATTTGATTCCACCTGTTACCCCGCCTTCGTGGTTCCGTTTTTGTTCCCACATCCTCGTTTGTACTGGATAGTTTCCACCATCTATCGCGCATGCGCCTGTGCTTTAGTCTTTGCCTGGGCAGTTATAGCTGCATCATTAATGGTGGTGAGCGGCAAGGGGCAACTGCTTCTTGTAGACCTTATTCTTGTTCAGTCGCCTCCTGCGATACCCTTTGTGCCCGTTATAAAGTACATTGTCCGTCCATGTGTATTATTTCTTAATGCGATATCCTACTACTGTTTCATAGTTCCTGCTTCATGGATGATGTGGGATGCATTTTGCGAAATTTGCGGAGACCTGAAACTACAACGACAGCTGAATGTAAATGAGAATAAAATTATATCCCCATCACGGTTTGTGATCTGTCCCGCTATTATTGTGGATTGGCATAACTTTGGCTATACTATTCTGCGAGGCGACGGACGGCCCTCTCTGGCTGTTTGGGTTTACCGGAAGTTTGAGTGTAATTTGTGTTTTGGCAATCGTAACTTGACTGTTAGCAAGGCAATGCGGAAGGCTCTTCTTGAACTCCAAGAAAGAATAAAGGTGAGGGGGGATAAATCACGCTTATCGATAGCTGACGATGTGGCAGTGTTGTATGACACAGCTCCCTCTTTTTTTGGCCCGGTGTCACGGGCTCGCTTTGTGCAAAAAGTACTGCGTCCCGTGTTGCAGTCGGGTGGCCAGGACGATAAGGAGGTCATGGGACTGTCGCCTCCGCCGGCCTGGGTGATGGAAACGGAGACACATGATAGTACCGAAAACAACAGCTCCTCTGGAATGTTTGTGATAGGTGCCACTAGTTGGACATTAGACGATGATTATAGTATGCTGGTGGAGGCACTTGTGCGTATTGATAAACGACTAAAAGAACAAGGGCAGGATCAGAATAGTATGCAAGCACCTGCTGTGAGGCCCATCTGGTTGCTCATGACAGGCAAGGGGGTGTCGCGGGAACGTTTTGAGCGTGCGGTCGTTGCAGCCCATCTCTCTCCACTTGTGACTGTGACAACCATATATTTTCAGTCGTATGTGGACTATGCAATGGCGCTTGGTGCGGCTGATGTAGGTCTCTGCATCCATCACTCTTCCAGTGGTTTGGACTTGCCTATGAAGGCGGTGGATATGTTGGGCTCTGGATTGCCTGTTGTGGCTCTGCAGTATGAGGCGCTTCCCGAACTACTGGACGAGAAACGCGGCTGGATGTTTAGCAATGCCGAGGGACTGGAAGCAATTTTGTGGCGTCTTGCTTACAGGCATTCCGGCAACGCCGCAGGTTCCTTGGAGCAAAAGCGTCTTTGTGTAATTGAAAGCCGACGCAATACGTGGGATGAACGTTGGCGTGCCGTGGTGTTGCCGTTACTGCGAGATCTGCTTTAATGGGAATGGACCAATGAGCGAGTAAATATGTTTCTCTGTATGTGTAAAGAGGAAGTGGACGGGAAAGATACTGAAAGGAAGAAGTGTCGCCAAAGAGCTTGAAGAGAAGCAATGACGGCAAGAGCCATACAAAACATTCTCCTAGACAAGAGATTTGTGCTGATGATCTTGCCGTGTTGCGGTTATTTCTTTTTCTTTTTTTTCTTTTTGTCGATCTTTGCCCACGCACGCATATATGTCTTTTGGGACAATAACGATAATAATTATAAAAAAAAAACGTTCAAACTTCAAATTAGTGACCGAGAGCGTAACAGCACTGATGTCCTTTGTTCATCCTGGCAGGAGTGGCCTCATTGTCTTGAGATTTTTTCAGAGTCACCGCTCGTATCACAAGACCATTGGCTATCGGTACCGTCCTTCTCAGCGGCCGGGTGATCACAGACAGTCGCGTGTGGCGGGAAGATTGGTGGCAGAAACGGCACGTGTGCCACTGAAAAGCAGCAGCTCAGCGGGCAGGGGATCCGATGACAACAATTCATTTGCTCGTGGTACCAGTACGAGAGACGGTCACGAGGGAGTTGACTCTTTGGCGGGACCATCTTCACCACAGGCGTATTTGTACCGCTTGCGGCATGGTCGATTTGACGATCTTATAGTTCTTTTATCTGCGCCGTACGCGGCATCACCTTTACGAATTTTGACGGATGTACTTCAGGAGGTGCTGCAGCTGAGGCTACGTTTAACTTCGGGAGAGTGTGGGGGAATTGAAGATTCCGCGGATCGGGTTGATGCATGGGAATCCCTCCAGCGTATGGCGAATGCTCTTTCGGACCCACTTGCTGTTCGAAGTGTGCTTTCAGGAGCGATTCATGCGGTAAAGGAGGCGACGGAGGCGGCATCTGAGGTGGGAGATCGGATTAGCGAGCGTGAACTTCAAAGGGAATTAGGCGACATAGAATCCTTTTGTTCTCAATTGCGGCAGTGGAATGCTGAAATGGAAAAAAATCTTACATTTATTGCTCAGACTGCTGACGATGCCAGGTATTCTCATTTGTTGGATTGGGATCTGTCAAATGTTGTCATGGCAGAGATTTGGCATGGCCTACTTGAGCTATGCAGTTTGACGGGAGCTTTTTACGTTGCTGTGGAGTCGCTCAACCATCTCATTGAATTGAGCGAACTGGTGGAGTGTATTGATGCAAAAAAGAAAGGTGACAAGGCGTTGTGGCATGGAAGGAATGATAAGGACAAGAATGAACACGAGGAAGCAGAGGAAGAACACCAGCAATCCGCTTTTACGCTAGATAATGTGGTGGAGGTAGTAGAGGATGAAGTGCGAAAATTTTTTCCACCAGTGCTGGCCATTGATCATATCCGAGCCATGCGAAGCTGCGAGCTTGCCCGCAATTTTGATGTCGCTTACACTTTATTTTCACGCTACATACAGCACGCCAGGAGCGGTGTCTTTCCTCTTACATCCAAAGACATTGAAGCTGCTCTGATTGCCCTCGCACGGTGCTGCAATAATACAGCCCATTTTGCGATGTTGCAGGAACTCTTTTTGGAGAGTGAGGCCGATCAAGTGGTTGGTGTTTCGGTGGAGTTGTACACGGCCCTCATTGATGCTGTGAGCCGGGCGAATGAAAATCCACAATGCATGGCAATAGCCCTTGCGCTTTATCGTCGTTTGCGGGATGGGGGTCTTGCGCCAACAGCCGATACGTACGCCGGTCTAATGGCTTGCTGCGCCGCTCAAAAAGACCCGAA